GATGGATGGATGGATGGATATTTAGATCAGAGCCCAGGATGAATGTTTGCTGTAGTGTGATGTCAAGTGTTTATTTATTTATTTTCTTCTTCTTTGGATGCTGAATGTTGTGTTCAGTTTGGTTTGTTTGTATTTGGAAACACAACTGACCAACAAAAAACAGAAGTTATGCTTACAGTTAGTTAATCAGAAAACCTCAGCTGTCATCCTTACTCATTGTTACTTCATTTCCTTTCTTGTTTGAGTCTGTTTGGGGTAATGTCAGATTCTCAGAAGCAGCCTATGTTTTCTGGGTTTTGTCGGCTGCATGTGTAGGCGCCTATGGATTGGGACAGCCTACAGTGTGAGGCAGTGATGTAAGTGGTCAACGAATGCTTCCTATGTCAGCTGAAACCCATGAACTGAGACACAGCTAGAGTGATGAGGGTGGAACACCTCCTGACCACACATACATCCAACCATACATCCAACCAAACATACATCCGAGACATCCAACTAACCACACATCCAATCAACCACACATCCAACCAACCATATATCCAGCTAAACATACATCCGACATATCCAACCAACCATACATCCAATCAACCACACATCCAATCAACCACACATCCAACCAACCACACATCCAACCAACCATATATCCAGCTAAACATACATCCGACACATCCAACCAACCATACATCCAATCAACCACACATCCAACCAACTACACATCCAACCAACCACACATCCAACTAAACATACATCCAACCAAACATACATCCAGCACATTCAACCAAACATACATCCAACACATCCAACCAACCATACATCCAACCAACCAAACATCCAATCAACATCCAATCAACCATACATCCAACCAAGCATTCATCCAACCAACCACACATCCAACCAAACATAGATCCAACTCATCCAACCAACCATACATCCAACCAACCACACATTCAACTAACCAAACATCCAATCAACCATACACCCAACCAACCAAACATCCAACCAATCATACATCCAACCAACCACACATCCAACCAACAAAATATCCAATCAACCAAACATCCAACCAACCATTCATCCAACCAACCACACATCCAACCAACCACACATCCAACCAATCATACATCCAACCAACCACACATCCAACCAACTAAATATCCAACCAACCATACATCCAACCAACCACTCATCCAACCAACCACACATCCAACCAACTATTCATCCAAAGAACTAAACAACCAAGAACCTGCAGCCAGCATCTTTTCTCGTTGCTTCTAAATAATCTAATAAAATAGTTCTTTMAATTATTTTCACATGTGCAGTGAGATTAAAAAAGTCATCTAGTTGATGCATCACCCATACAAAAGAACTTAAAGACTCTAAAATATGAAATCTATCCATATCTAAACCCAGTCCTTCCTTTCAGTGCCACTGGTGCCCATATTCAGCAGTCACAGTGCGAGGGGCGGGGGTCCCCTGGACAGGTCACAAGTCCATCTCAGGACCACACAGAGACAAAGGACCATTCATTTTTACTGACCTTCTGGCTGAGAGGCATGAGCTTTACCAACTGAACCACCATGCTGCCCATATACAGTATAATATATAATAAAATAAATAAAATACCTCTAAAATTGTTGTTAAATAAATGTCTCTAATTCAATGTGAGCAAACTGATAATTTCAACATTACAACATGTAACATAAATAGGTTTAAAACTTCATAGACTGTCATGGAAAACTAAAAGCAGGAAGCAGAGTGTAACCACAGAGACATGATGTTATCTGATGCTGCTCTGCTCATCTTGATGCAGTTTGGCTTAACAGAAACATCAATCATTACTGTCTAACCTGCTTCAGGTCACTTTAAGGTTAATAGTTMCCATCAGTAATAAACATTTCATATATTTATAATGTTCAGACTGTTCAGCATGTCACCTCTGACTTCAGCTTCCTGGTGATGAATGTCCTCATCTRCTTCCTGTGGACGGATCATCATGCAGACACTGAGACACTCAGTTCAACTGGCTCTGAAACACAAGCAGCYTTTGTTCAGCTTTATTCTTTTAGTAAATTTTAAYTTCATGCAGCGACATGCAGGTAAATGTGAAAATAATATAYCATACAAAAACRTCAGTTTGTGTGCAATCTCACATCGTCTCAGTGTAGAAAKTTGGAGTCAGATTTAGTTTTAGCGAAAATGTAAACTCACCATCAATGTGTGGGGCCCCTCTGTCTATGGTTCAACATCTAATCAGCTTCATGTTTGACAGGTTTGTGTTGAAACTTCCTGTTGAGCTTAAAGGAGGAGGCTTCATCTACAGGATATACTTCCTGATTCTGCTTTMACTTCATTTAATTCTTTTCATTTCAAACAGGATTTTATTAAAAAACACAGATGATGTGCTGCCCTCCTCTGGTCAACTCCAGCTGATTTTCTTCTTCAGTTTTGATCCTTTCATGTCTGATAAAAATCTGATTTATGACATTTGAATCATTCAGTGTTACTAGTTTGTTCACTTACATCTGATTGAAGAGGAGGCAGGTGGGTGAAGAGCAGAAACTAGAACTTTATTCATGGAGGAATGAAGAATCCAAAGKTGTCCCACTAATAACCCTGGATTATTTATTCTCACTTTTATCAATCCAGATATGAATTCAGGGTCACAGATGCTGCTGGAAGGAATATAAGGACTGCGACCTCCAAGTCTGCAGATCATCTTTTTCCACCTTCAGTGCTGCACAGTCTCCTCCATAAGGAGGAGACTGTATATTATATTTTTATATTTATATTTAGATATTTATTATACTGAATGAGACTTCTCATTTACTGGACTGTTTATAGGTCTAGAAACTTAATATAAAAAGGCCATTTTAATTTTGGTAGACTTAATTTCATTTTTGAAAAACAAACTCTTATTAAAAGAWAAAATTAAATGTGAGAATCAGAAGTATGGGTCCGCTCAAAGCCATCAAAGGTCTGAGTGAATCCATCAGTCTGATCCAGAACCTGTCTTCAGCATCGATCAAAACCATCAGAAACACGACACTACAAATTATACAACCGTTTATTCCTTTATTTAAACAGATTCAAGTTAAGTCATTTGAAAACTTGAGTTTGAAATAACTGCCATTTCCTCAAAAATATTCCTGCAGAAGATAGGAGTTTCTGTAAGGAATGTGGCTCCCCTGGAACAAAGTTAGTGTTGGGAGAACGTGAACACAAGAACGTCAGATACTCCAGGTGTCTAAAAGCTGCAGAACATCTGAGCTCGCTTTGGTCAGAGCAGAGAAGCTGAGGTTGGACAGGAAGCTGTTGATGGACACCATCTCGTTAAAGATCTCCCCCTGAGACTGACTCTTCAGCATCCTCACTGCCTGCTGGTCCACCAGGTACAGAGTGGCTGCAGGGGACGAAAACTACATTAATTTAAACCGATACTGTATGGCTACAGTAAGATCGAAATAAACCTCAATACTTACACATCCAACGCCCCTCCCAGTGTTCACTCCCTTGATCTGCAGCTGGACTGAGTTGGAGCGGGACAAGCGGTCGTTCTGGGCCGTTGGTTTGATTCCGTTTGGCCAGAGTGAGACTGAAAACCTGTCAGGAGGCAGCAAAACAAGTTTAGATGTAAAGCAGATGAGAAATGTGATTTATGTGAGCAGGAGACCTGCTGTACCTGGTCCTCTGTAAACCTGGTGACGTCACCTCATTGGTTGAGCTCTTCTGATGTCATGCTCAGACCTTTTGCTGGGCTCGCAGGTGGGGAGCAGATCCTGCAGAGTTTTCTTGCAAATCTCAACTGAACTGGCCGTGAAGCTGAACTGATGACTCCTCTGCAGTCTGATCCTCTACAGAGTCCAGCTGGGAGAAGCCCTGGGCAGTGGGGTTGGTGGTGCAAGTTCCCACTTCCTGTCTGACCGTAGGCAAAACATTGTAGCCCTCCAGGGCCGACTGTATGAGCAGAGATCTCTTCAAAAAGCTGCAATGAAAGTCAAGAGTGAACTTTCTCCTTTGAGACGTGGCCAAAATAAAATCTCCCCAGTTCCGAGAGACATTTAGCTCCTTCTGTGACTCCTGGCGACAGAACTGAAGTCGTAGTTCTGGGCAGTTTTTCCCAGTGAGACTGATGGAGAACAAAAAAAAGTTAGTCTGATTTGTTCAAAGTGATGACAGGGTTTGATGTGATTAAACTACTAAAAAAATTTAAAAATAAAAAACAGGACAGAGACTTGCTGCTTTGGCCTGGATAAACTGACCTAAGTTTAGCATCATTGATTTGTCACTCTCTGCCAACTGTGAGCTCCAAGTCCTCCATCCTTTAGAGGGCGCACTCTACAAAACTGGCATTGCTCTGGAAGAGAAAGGTCCTTTCATTAGTGGTGGGCTTTGAGAGTTAACCARCAAACACTGCAGGAAGTTGCCCACCACAGGCTCACTGTTCAGCAAGTAGTACTCACACTGATCCTTTATGAAGTCCAACAGACTGAAGACAGAGGGGCCTGTCACTGCATGGGGGGGCTGCCACCAAATCTGGGTCAGGAGAGGGTGGGGGGGGCGCAGCCAAATCGGGGTTGAGGGGAGGGGGCGGCTGCCAAACCTGAGTCGGAGGGGGGCGCCAAATCTGGGTTGGGGGAGCAGCTTCCAAATCTGGGTCGGAGGGAAGAGGTCGGCTGTCAAATGTGGGTCGGGGGGGCGGCCGCCAGCTGTGGGTCAAGGGGCGCGGC